TCCACTAAATCAGACTAAAGAAAATGGCAAATTAAATCTTTTTTTTTCCTTTCCCCTCAATGATTCGGGATACTTCGACATGTCCCGAAGCCGTATGTCTCCCTCATCTGGCCGCTGGTATGTAAGTGTAACAAACTGGCACCGTGCGTAAAATCCGCACATGCGTCTCCAGAACGCAGCGCAGCAACCCAGTCCCCGTTAAGCGGGTTATTTGGATGCATTAAATCGTATTATGTATGTCGCATTTGTTATGGGGATTACCTGGAACATTTGTAGTTTACATGAAGGAAGTTCTGTAAAAAAGGTACCTTTATTTTACAATGTCTTTATTTCAACACTATGATTTTTATTTTTGTTGGCCCTATTTTGTTAAAACCACTGCTTATCTGTTTGTTCTTCCAAACTGTTAAAAAAAAGGCTAATAAAAGTGCTTTAACGTTTTACTTAGAGAATGTCTCGCTTAGAGAGGTTTAATTGGATGCTTGTAACATCCATCACACTCCTACCAACCATCTGACCTTCACTGGAGACTTTGCCCCGCAAGACACTGAGCGTTATTAGTTACCTTGTTTGTGATGGGTAAGTGGATTGCAGATGGGCTTTTTTTTTTTTTTTTATAGAACCATTGTATCTGGTAAACTAATGCATTATTTCAGTGCGTAAACAGCAACAGGTCTGTAATTTAGGTTTTTGAAGGTAAAACAAATGTTTATCTTCCACACACAGAGTCAGTTCTGTTTATTTTGCGGCTGAAACGCTTTTGAACCAGTTTGGAAGAACCAGACCAAAAATGTCTGCCTGATCCTATTTCAATGATCCACAATCAATTTGAATTGGAATATTATGTTCCAGTTCTGCTAAATTATTACAATATAGCTCTAGCTGCTACATATATATATAGTAATTGAACATTATTGAGCTCACATTGGAGAAATTTTCCTCTGCATTTAACTCATCCCCCTGGGGAGCATTGGGCTGCCATTGTGTGGTGCCCGGGGAGCAGTGTGGGGTTAAGGGTCTTTTGCCCAGTGCCTAGAGTGGCAGTCTGTGGGAGTGGGGCTAGAACTCAGAAACTTAGGATTCAAAGCTCTACCTTAACCACTAGCCCGCCACTCCCCGAATAAAAATGAAAAAACAAATAAACAATTCCATCCTTAAATAACAAATACAATTGTTATCTGTTTTCTAAAGTTTACTCTGTGTACTGTGGTCTATAACATTGACTCACTGGATATTTGGAAATGGAAATGACACCTCGTGTTTACTGTCTAGCATGGTGAAGGTTTGGTAATGATGTGGGCTTGTTTTTTTTGTGTTTTTTGTAATCTGGTTGGCATCATGAAATATAAAATGTCATCTGCTGAAAAAAAGAAAATAGGTTTTGTTTTGTTCTATCAAACAGCCTGATTATCACAAGCATTCAGCCAAATCAAATGAGTCTCAAGGCACAAAAAGCAACCAAATGGGTTGCTCAAAGTGGGAAAGTTTCAGATATCAAAGGAGCAGTATAAAGCAGATATACTTGCTACTTTTTAAGCCTTTCTTTTATCATTTGAAGCCTTTTTCCAACTTATCACCTCTCCTCTCTTAGGCCTGAACACCTGTCTGGACAACAATTCCTGCTTGAGACCTTCATCAAACAACTCCTAAAATCCCCTCTTAATCCCAGAAATGTAGATCTTTGGAATGTTCTCTCTCATTACTAAGTTTGCATCCTAAATTTCTTTGAAATGTACTTCCACCGCACTCCGGCATATACTTTTGCAGCTTAACCTACATAAGTCCATTGATCTGTGTCTTACCAACACAACGCTACTATGTTAAGCATTGCCTAATCTGCCTCATGCTACCTGGATTTTCATATTGAAGAAATAATCCTGATGAAAGGTGCAGGAGGTGGGGAGTCACCTTAAGAACTATTTAAAAGCTTCTTATCGCAGACCTGCACTCCAATATTTATAATTTTTTTTACCAAAAAGGAAGTGATAGCCCCCTAATCTTAATCCATAGCTTTAATTAAAGAAGGGGAAACATTGTTGTGTACCACTTGGCCTGCTATTGTTCAGAGTTACTGAAAGAAGAATAGTCAGGTCCATCATGATAAATGAAACAAGAACAATCTACAGTCTGTACATTTTTGTAAACTACTAAAGCGTATTAATTAGAAATATGAAAGTCTCAAATTGACCATTAATCTCTGGACACATGAAAAAGTATAGATTAACATGTGAATAATTAGAACCAAGTGATAATAATTGCAGCATTTTAAGACAACTGTGTTAGAATCTTATCGCCTAGATTAGGATAAGCATGGGTATTATATTTACATCAAACTCATTTAGGTCGTCTTTTGATGTGTTCAAAAAACTTAGAAAACCGTGGTGGGGTAATTCTCATTGTTTGCTTGACCTCAATTGTCACGAAATGTGGTTTCAGCACACAGAAAAGGCTCGATTGCTCCTAGTTTCTTTATTAGAACTGTTAAGATAAGACAGCTTTCTTAGTAAATCAGAAATTATCTTAGTTACCCCCAAAACATGTCCATAAACTTTAAAACAATCAGCAAGTGTCTCAAAATCAGCATATCATCATTGACATGACACAATCAAGAACTTTTACAATTCGGCAGCTTTGGATCACTAACAGAAAACTAAGATAATTTTTGGTTCAGACATAGACTCGAGAGGAGATCTAAAGATCTTTTGGGCCGACTTGTAGCAATCTGTAGTGATTTTTATCTTGCAAAATATGCTGCACTCTGAACCAAGAGACTTCAGAGATGACATCTAATAGCATACCTATTAAGACAAAGACAGAAATGAGAGATGCTTGCAAACTCTTGCAGGCATAAGCTGCAACATTACTGTTAACTGTATCTTTGGAAAGGCAGTATCTTATTTTATCACTTGTGAAGGTGCTTTTTAGTTTTGTTTTTTACTGGTTCTGGTGTGAATGAATCAGGCAAATAAAAACCCCCATCAGTGCTAAGTCAAACATAAAAAATAAAATCTATTGGTCAGCAGGGAATCATATCATAAAGCTTTTGCGAGGAGATAAATCTGAAACTGTAAAACTAACTTTATGAGGCTCTATTTGCTGACAGAATAAATGGTACCCCTACCGGGAGGCAATATAGAATATTTCTATTTTGTTCTATTCTATTATTACTGTGAAACTTCTCTACGGATTCAGGTTTTATCAATATTTAAATGTGGTGAACTGATTACAACGAAGATCTTGCTTCACAGAGTGGACAGTTAATCTGCAACAATTAAATGAATATAATAAAAAAGATTGATCTTTTGTGTTTGTCTTCTCTAGTAATAGAGCAACTGAATTTGCAAACATCTCTGAAGACCTTTTTAGTCTGCAGTTTTTAGGTCTGTTTTCCCAAAACATTTGGCAAACATATCCAATGCAAATGAAAGAGCAGAGTATACACATCGTTCTACAAGTATGTGACCTAAAAATTGCTTTTTTTTTTTCT